TAGTGAACAAGGTCAGTACAGTAATAAAGACCAGGGTAAAACCAGCAGCAAAAGAAGACTGTCAAGATTCAGTGAGGAAAATTCATTTGTAATTCTTAAATGTTCCCTGATCTGGATGATCTCTTTCTTCTTTTTAAACAAACTGATTTTGGCCTGTTATTAGCTTTGGCTGGGATGTATTATTCCTCAGCTCTTGCTGCTTGCTCTGAAGGTTTTGGTAACAAGTGACAATAACAACAACAACGGTGTTGGCATTAATCTGACAGGAACAGACTACAACAGACAGGTTTCGGTACCTAGGCTATGCATGTCCAAAACATTAGTGTGAATCCAATAGGGTACCAGTACAATATTCCAGATACTGGTATTGGTTCAAATGCAAGTGGTACCCAATCATGTCAGAAATCAGCCTGATTCAGCTCAGCACATTGACTGATCAATCACATCGTATGCTAGCTTTGCAGCAACAGCAATTAGTCTGAGCAGCAAGTTTTTATAAGTCAGGTAAGGCAGAGACAATTAGACAATTCGTCAAAAAAAGATTCTCATGCGGGCAACACTTTTCACCTCAGGTAAATAACTGTCTGAGGAGAACCACCGGAGACAAATTAGTGATAATATTTACAGCTTTTGTTGAGGTAATGCTCCATTCTAGGTGTGCTGAAAATATTTTTTAAAACTGTTTAAAGATATCATAAATACAGCACCATAAACTATGGACTAGAAAATCCGAGGTACGTCACCAACACTACCTCTGGACTTTTTGTTTTAAAACTACATCCCAAACTAGGTTTGTTTCTTTGTACTTACTCAGTGTGGGATTTAATGTCTCCACAAAATCTGTCTCCAGATGTTTTAATATGAAGTTTTGGTAAAAGATCCCAAGTTTCACTTTATCACTACTTGAATCGGCTCATTAAAAAGAGGAAAGAAGAAATTTCTTATCAAGAGTTCATAGACCAGAATCAGTCTGCACATCTGGATCAATTCACTGGTCATTATGGTCTTGAATTTATTAATGGACTCACTGAACATTGACAAAACATGGTGTGTGTGTATGTGTGAGAGCTGAAGCATTAAAAGTTTAATTTACCCTTCCTACCTTGTCGTATCCCTTCTTCAACACCTTTTCTGAGCGAAACGTGGAATCTGGACTCTTTCTTCCCGACACCTGTACGACAGAAATCCGAGAATGAGGGAAAGGAGAAAAGACATTATCGAAAGAGGGGATGGAAAGAAGAGAGACAGAGGCAATGATGTGAGACCATTAGACTATCTAGGTCACCAATGACAAGTCCATGCAGCTGAAATCTAAGTGGAAGCCTGGTGCAGTCCTGAAGCTCTGCAGCCTCAGTGTCCGTTTGCTGAATGGCTACAGGCTATTTTGCATAGTGAAAGAAACACACATGAAAATAACATACAGCAAGTATTAAAACTCAGAATGAGTCCTCTCTGTCTAAACGAATAGCTTGGACTGTTATCAAATAATGTTTTGACAGTGTTACTCATACATGGCTTTCTCAAACATACAAAACTAATTTCCTCTTAATTTTCTTACAAAACCTCAGATTAAAGATAATGCTCTAGGAAATTCCTGTTCACATTTGCCAAGAATTATATTAAAAGCTAAACACTGAAAAACGCACAATTATATTGTTAGGAATAAAAAGCAGAATCCACTCTCTCCCACTCTGACTCAGTCCACAAACACTAATGTACAGGCATGGGTTTTAATGTTTATTGTAAAACATGTCAATGAAAAGAGGCAGTAAACTGAGGCTGTGTGACTCACTTTGTTATTGGAGGAGCTGTGTTTCTGAGGGGGCGGAGCGGGGTCTCGACTGGGGCGGTGTGAGCCGTCACTGCTGTCGCTCTCACTGTCCAGGCTGAGTCTGCTGGGGGACAGGACCAAGTCAGGCTAGCAGACAAAACACACTCTCATACTGCTCAGCATCAGACTTGGATGCATGTGTCTGAGATTATATTATTATCAGATGCGAAGACATTTCCAGAAAATTAAATTACATTAGTCCTGTCTGATTATGGGTTTTGTTTACCATTTAACTTTCAGTGATGAAGACACTAGACTAAGATTAAGAACCCTACAAGAGTAAACAAAACAGAGGAGATAAGAAAAAAAAAACACTAGTTGTGTAGGAAGAGAAAAGTTAAGGTGTCCAAGGATAAACTGATCAAGTCCAGGTATGCAAAACTGGTAAAGATTTCCCCAAGAAGACTGAAAACTGCTGCCAAAGACCCTCTATAAAAGTACTGAAATAAGAGTCTAAATACTTCTGTAAATGAAACTTAAATGCTCTAATCTGATACATACAGTGATGGTGGCATTCCTCAAATAAATACATAAAACAAACATTGTGAAAGTAATATTTGTATTTTCTTTTCTACAACTGTTTTGTTTGTTTGACTGGCGTGCTTTAGATTATATCACCACACTGTGTCCTCCTGTTCTGTAATGGTTAAATGCCATGTGAATGGAGAATCAGCACCATCAGCTGTTTATTTCCATGTGCCCAGTTCTTAATATTTACATAACAGCAGTGGATGGAATCATGCATCAATTCACATTTTCTTTTGCAGATTTTGCACTAAATCTGGTTGGAAGCTTTGCCAGAGGCATCATCCATCTGCGCAACTATTATGTTTGAAAGAGGTGAAGAGGAGAGTCGCTTGTAGCAGCATTAGTGTGATCTAAAATCACTGTTTCTGATATACCACCAAAGATTTGAACATGTTTCTCTCATGACTAGAAAATTTGGTCAGGGATAGCCCAAAATCACAGTGTAAATAGCCCTTTAAGAAGACTGACCGAGAGTCACGGTTGGGGGGGTTGGTCTTGATGGGTGTCTCCTCCTCTGAGCTGCTGTCATCGTCGTCTGACTCTTCTGACTGGATCTCCTCCACCATGGATCGTAGAGGCCCTGAGAGAAGAGGACCAAATCACACACTATACTACTATTCACATTGCACAAAAATCATCTGCATCTTTCAGGTTTTAGAACAATTTTCAAATCACTCTCTCAATGTTTTTTTTCTTAAATAGTGGGGATTAAGTTCCATCATACTGTAAGACAAACTTCAAATTTAGGCTTAAAACAAACTCTTCATCAACTAACTGGCCCCAAACAACAGTACCTTGCCCTTGTTTCTGTCCTGGCTCAAAATCTGAGTCTGAACTCGAGTCAGAACTGGAACTGGAGTTGGAAGGACTGGAAGGCACCGACTGCTGTGGGAAGAGGAGAAGAGGAGGAAAATGAGTCCCTTTACAGTGTGGTTGGTGCTGTAGGTTGGCACACAGCCGTGGGTCAGCAGTGATTCATAAGCTACAGGAGAACGGCAGAAAAGAACTGCATGATAAAGGACCTTAGTTTTTAAATATCTATGTCGGCATTTCAAACAGTACTGTAAAGGCAAGTCATGTTAGGCTGAACTGCCAAGAGTTTAATTCAGTTCAATTCAATTTTATTTGTATAGCACAAAATAACAGCAAAAGTCATCTCAGGACACTTTAAGGTCTAGGCCTTACTATTTTTATTATTATCATTATAGAGGAAAAACCCAACAAATCCCCCCTGAGCAAGCACTTGGCGACAGCGGGGAGGAAAAACTCCCTTTAACGGAAGAAACCTCTGAGAGACACCAGCTTGCGGTGGGTGGCCTTCTGCCACGATTCAGCTCATGGCACAAAAGAGGTGGTTTTTGTGCCATTTTTGACTTTAGCTCTTTCCTGATTCTGTTTTGGGGAAAAACTGACATTCACCAGCTACTGGAACTAAAATTTGTCCAATCAGAACAGCATGTAACTCAAGATGAAAAGATTAGAGGGTTAACCAGTTAATCAAACCACAACCATTTTGATCATTTTTCAAGGCATAATACCAAACATTCCCTTATTAGATATCTTTGGGCTTGTAGGTGCAACAAAACATTTGACTTTTTACTATTTTCAAACATTCTATAAACCAAGCCATTGATCAATTAAACAAGGAAATAAATGAAATTCAGTGAGCACAGTTTTTGAACAGCAGTGATATGATGAAATGTTTTCCAAAAAGCGTCTCTTTCACATCTAAGAAAATTGGAAACATTTCACTCTGTTCAGAAATGAAAGCTCCTGTCTAGTCCTCATACCTCTGACTTTGAAGATGCTTCATCCTCTGAATTCGACTCCTCTGACTCTGGAAGCTTCTTGGGTTCCTTCAGCTCCTGTGTGTCATTTTTTCCTTTGGGCCAGCGACCTTTTTCCTTAGAAGGTTTCTTTTCTGTGTAGGGCTGGCTGGCTGCAGACGACGAGGAGACGCGAGGAGAAGCTCCTGTGAAGGCCCCACTGGCTGGCCCCTTCGGCCCCTCTGAGCTGCCCTTCTTTTGCTTCTTAGCACTGGGTTTGGGAGACTCCACTGTGGACGGTCGTTTCCCTGAAGCTTTGGACTCTGCCGGGCCTCCCCCACCTCCTCCTCCTCCACCCCCACCACTCCCAACCCCCCCTCCTTTTGGGGACATGCCTTCCATCTTGGATTCCTTCAGGGTGAGTTTAGGCTCCTTGAAGGCAGCCTTAGGTAGGACTTTTACTTCATCCTTCACTTTGATCTCTGACGGCTTTTTTGAAGATGAAGACGAGGAAGAGGAAGGCTCGCGGCCACTCTTGCTGCTTCCATCTCTGTCATTGTCTCCTTTTGATGTGGCTTTGCTCTCAGAGTCCTTTCGGGGCCGTTCACGATGCTCCTTGGTCACCTTGTGAGGTTTGGGTCCTTTGCTGCTGCCACCACTTCCATCTTTGCTGGGTATCTGGAGAGAGAGAGAGAGAGAGAGAGAGAAAAAAAAAAGGAGACCAGAACTATAAGAAACACTCGCAACAGCTCAAGGCTGCATAAGAGGACAGAGCCTCATCAAGTAATTTATGGGCATCGTTCCCTCCTCAGATTTCGAATCAGGCCTTGCCAGTCTAGTTTATAATCGCCTGTAATTGGCATGTCAAACTAAGCATTTGGCCAGGGTAAAACAACAACTGTCTCAGGTGGCAGTCTAACAACAACTGCCCCCACATTCATTCTCTGGGAACCACAAATATTTGTACAAATCTAAAGCGGTTGCCTAACTGAGCAACTTTGCCATCTTAGCACCATGCCACTAGCACTGCACAAGTTAAACAGAGATACCACGCGACTCTGAGCTACAGAACAAGCACTGCTCCTCTCATCAAATGCAGATCGGGGCTGACAAGTGAGGGCAAATAAGAAAACAGCCTAACAGGCTGCAGACTGCTGCATTTCAAAAGCAACATTAGATTAGACTCTTACCTTGCGGGCAGTGAATGAGCTAATTTAAATGTCAGTGCTTCTCTACCAAAACTTCCAGGAACTTTACTTCCACAACTACTAATGTCCAGAAACTTTCCCAAAGGTAAAGGTTCTTGCAGCACATTGTGATTTGCATTTCCACATTTGCATTTCCTGATTTTTTTAACCCACAGATGCCAAATATTAGGATATTCATTGGTCATTACTAGCGAATTAGCGATTACTACTAGCAAAGTCCAAAAATTGCCATTCGGGACAGCCTTAACAATTCTGGAAAAGAAAAGGTTAGTGTAATTCACCAATTAACACCAGCACTGCAAGCCCAACCCCTAAAGCTCCTGAACCTTCAGAAAGTACTACCCAGTGACTTTTGGGGGGGTTAACTCTCCCAGCAAGTTAGACTTTGGTTTCTCTAGTGGAAATTCAAGCAGAAACTGTGTTCCTTGAAAGGCTCCTGTTCTACACGGAAGGTTCCTGCAGTGGAAATACACCTTTTCTAGCGAAACCTGTGGTAAATGTGCAAACAAACTCACCACAAAGTGTCAAGAGTGGTTTTTAAAAGAGCTCACAGTGATACAGGGAGAGGATGGTATTTCCACATTGTCCACCCACATATCAGCAAACACTTTACAGCTTTTCAAACGAACACTATTAACCTACTTAACAGACCTTATTATATCCATTCACTGACAGGAAGACTGGAGAAAGTGGCCATGTGTCTTCAAATTTGGCTCTCACTAACTTTTTCTCTATGAGCAGATGGACACAGCTGGAGGAAACCTAGTCCACACAACACGCCCACTCATGCCACAATAATAACATGTAGTGAAGAACCACGTTTTACTATGTCAAAATGAAGGGGAAATTTTATCTACAGAATATCTGCTCATTTGCCACCAGCACAATCTGATGTTAGCCACCAATGTAGTTTAAGTTTTGAACATTATAAAATAACCCAATACATGTTTAGATAAACATTTGTAGAACACACAAGGTATGGTACACAAAGAAGCACACCTTATTAAGAGACGAGAACTACACTGAAGGACTGATAGAATAACAGTGGTAACAGTGGAAAATGTGATGGGATCAGTTTCTTGTTTTCTCCAGATATGTCCCCTTCCTTGGCAGATAAGCAGGCTGAGTCATTCTCCTCTGCCTACATGAATACAGATGCTAAAAAACAGCTGGCAATGATTAGATGCCTTAGTCAGCCAGCTCTGAAAACTTATTAAATTACTTTGCCCATTTTTTTTAAATATGCCAATAAAATTTGATTGGAATGATCAAAGGAGCAGATGATATTTCAGGTTAAATACTTCAAACAAACACAAAAGCTGAGCAGGGTGGAAGGATAATGACTAAGATGATAATTTTTTCTAAGCAATGAAACCAACTTTTGACACATGAGAAGTCTTGGTCTTCTTGGGGTCTGAGAAGGCAGAAAGGGGAATGGTGGGGAGAATCGGGTAGTCTGGACTAGGCCTGGAAACAGCTTCAGCCCCTTCTGGAACCACCAACACCTGAAGGAAAATACATAAAGCTTAGGGTGTTTTTTGTTCATCTCTAAAGCCAATATTCATTATACTCACATAGTAAATTCTCCAGTAGTGTACAGAAACAGGTTTTTATAAAGCTGTAAAGTCAGGGGAGCTATTGTGGACCCCCTTGGTTCTTGGAGCAAAAGTCACTTTGGTTTTTCCCTAATGTGAAGTAATGCACAGCTGGAGTGCTTCTACAGCTTGGATCGGTATGAAACTCACACTTGAATCATCAGCAGAAGAGACAGACAATGGCATTAGAAAAATATCTGGTTCTTTGGCAAAAACTTTAAGCTGCATAAAGACTTGAGATATTGAACCATAAGGATATTGTTTAAACAAGGACGTGAAAAGGTTAATAGAGTGATATCACCAGCCAGCCAGTGCCAGGCAGGGGACAGTAAACAGTAAATCTGTCACAGTCTGTCAGGAGAGAGCTCTGCATGTTTACACTGCAGTCATCTCTAATGTGAGTTTTTGCACTAATGTAATATATCTCACATACTGTATATTCAGAGTATATTTTGAGAAAACTGCAGGTTTTCCATACATGCTAATGTAACAAATGTAATAACCAGAGTGAATTCACCAGTGCTCATAGCTAGGGCTGTAGGGGCAAACAGCTGCCTGTTGGAAACTTTATGTAAAATACA